TACACTAAATTTTGATCCCTGTAATGTGTGCAATATAATGTTCACTTTGTCTGGTTTTGTTGCAGTATGTCCCATATTGGGCATCACCAGATTCAAGGTATTTTTTACATAATAAACAAACATTAAAAATATATAAATTTTAATTTTTTTCGTTTTAATTTGCACCAGACAAAAAAACTTTTTTAAAAACTTGCATTTTTCTAAAGAATATTATTTTATAAACTTCTTGTAAAGTTTCTATGTCACTGTAAATATAATCTTCAAAATTCTTTATTTTTTTTTGGATATGATCACTTGAGACAAATGTAATAGATGCACCACTTTGTCTATCAAAAGTTTTTAAGAAGGGAAATGGAACTTCTGGAAGTAGGGTTGCTGCTGCAAGAAAACATTTAAACATGTTCGGAGTTGATATTAAAACCTAAAGGATTTGATGAATGTTAAATCAGCAATATTCTGTATCCTTGAAATCAATATCCACTATTACACAATTATCTTAACCACCAGCAAATGTAGAAATATTATAGCGAGGTGAAATTGACATCAAATTGGAATCTTTAGTAATGGCAAAGAATTGAAGATTTTCCTTTACTGCACCATATGAGAGAATATAAGGAAGATTTCCACATGATACCAAATTCCAATCCTTCATTTTATCCCTTAATTCCTCCATTACTACACTAAAATTACCATCCTTCTTTTTTTCTGCTTTGAAAACCAATGCATCTTGAACCCATACAAGTACATCTGGTTGTAAAGAATCAATTGTAATCCCTGATGGATCTTTAACATTTCGGTTAATGTCAATAGCTAAAGATTGATATGTCTTTAAAGTTTCCCAAATATTGATAACAATATTATCAAATTTGCTGATAAGACGAAATTCTGAACCTTCCATTCTTCTAGAAAGAGCATGTACACACTCTGCACTAAATTCAGCTGCTGTAGAACCTGATAGATCACCATTAACAAAATAATTGAGGTGTTGGCATACTGATAAGATAATAATATTCTTGTATTTTTATCTCATATATAGTCTAAAAGCCTATTAGTAAATATTGAAAATGCTGATATTTATCAGATATTCTTCTAAAATTAATCCTATTTTTTAGTTAAATAGCTCTTTTATATTGTAATTAAGTTATTGGTTAAACATTTCTAAAGCTATTTGTGAGTAGTAGGTAGGGTTTCTATTCGAATAAGATTTATTCAAATAAAACAAATAAATAAATGCAAATAACACGAATAAAACAAATAATAATAACTCGAATAATTAATAATAATAATAATAATAATGGATCACATCACAGCATGTATGTACAAGATCATCCCTTTTTAAATATATATACACACCAATAATAATCACTTTTAATTCTATCCAATTAAATTCAATTAAAGATTTGAATATATTTGTAAAACTAAAGATAATATACATATATATAAGAATGGTCGAAGTTTTTTATGCAAAACAATTGTATTTCTTTTGTCAAGATTGACAAGACTTTCTGCAATAAGCTGAACACAGACAAGACTTTTCATTTAAAAAACGAACACAGACTTTTTATCCATACTTTACTTAACATTAAAATAATTTAAATCTAGACAATTATTTTTCATGGAACCAGTTGAGGATTTTTATTTTCTCTTTTATATCAATTATTGAATATACATTTGAAAGTATTTCTGATATTTATTTGCAGATCCACCCAAATTTAATTCTTTCTGCCTACTTTGCTTGTCACCACAGGACCAATTTAAAATCTCTTCAATTTTAAAATAAATAACCTACAAAATGAACATAAAATTGTATATATAGGAATAAGTGTATATGAAAAGTAATAGTAAATATAATGGTTCTACTGAATATCAAAAAGCAATTGATTTTTTAGAAAAAGGTTGTGATTGTGGTTGTTCTTCAAGAATTCCCAAGGAAGAATTTGCAGAATTAAGGGAATCTTTTCAAGCTCTTTCCAAGTCTGAACAAGACATATTTTTGATGGCCCAACTTAAGGCAATGGATGGTGGATCAATAAGCACTAGTAGACGCCTTAAAAAGAAAACTAGATCTAATAAAAGAAC